TGCCGTCTGTCAGTCATGGCTGTCCGGCTTCTTCTCCACTCCTTGCCTGCGTTTGGTCTCCAAGCACAGGCAGACAAGTGCAATGGGATCTTGACAATGTCTGAATCAGAATCCGATTTCTTGAGGTAAAATGACTAATTTATTTCTAGCCAAATATTTCTAATTTGAAGGTGCAGTTGTTTTTCTTCTATTTTGCAAAGATCATGTTTTTATTTTATTTTATTTTTATAAATATGCATTAGACATACAAACAAAACCAGTAATTCGGTTGACAAGAGATCCTAGGGTGCTGCAACTGTAGTGACCAATGCCCCTGACTCCAGTCCAGACTTTTTAGAAAGAGAGCCATTATAGTAAAGCAGGCTTGGCCAGGGGCTGTCAACCTGGATTGTAAAACTGTTTGGACTGGATTGGTCTGTTCTGAGCTTTAGAATGAGTAATGGCGGAGAGGAAAGCCAAAGCAAATTCCAAGTCTGTGACTCCTGTTACTTAAAAATGATTCTGATTCTGATTCTGAAGTCGGCTGAATGATAAAAAGACCATCTAAACAGCTACGTTAACATCATTAATGGATGCTCTAAGCTTTACAACGTACAGCATGTCTATTGTCTGAGCTGAAGTTAGCTGGATGACACTGTGAACTCGTGTTTATGATCGCAAATGCTGCTTTGGCTTATGAAGGAAGAGGCCTTGACATTAAGTTTTGTCAGCCACTTGCCCATCGGGCAAGTACCATTTATATTCCAATGGCCCAATGTCAAAAGTTACTTGCCCAAATATTTCTCAATATAAAGTGGGACTAACTGTGTGAAAAAAAATAAAACATAATAATCACTCTCAGCCCAAAAAGTCAAATAATGACTCACACGGCTCTTTAGAATGCAAAAAGATGGCCTGTTATGGTGTGTTTTGTTTGATTTGTTCACAACATTTTACTTTGTGCACAACCAACATGCATATTTAATGCAAGGGAATATTTAGGTACCCAAGCTTTAATTTAGTGAGTTTTGGTTGCGCTTTGGTAGGAGACCCGCAATTGGGGATGGTCCTGAATGCGTCTCTATGGTAGATGATACATTTGTTTAAGACAAAAAATGATTACATATTACTTTTGCTCATTAAATGTTATGAATTTTGACATATCGTACATATCGATATAATATTTCACTTTCGCTGCTTTGCTCGTCTGCCTTCCCTGTGCTGCGCTCGCCCCCGCATGCTTACTACCTCTTGGCCCGTCCCCTCGCGTGCTTCTCATTCCCATGCTTATTCCACACTTTGGTGGCCGCTTAGCTAGCAGCACTGACCGTAAAAACATAATCGAAGGAAACAAACTTGTCTAATAACAATATAAATAATATAATGTATAATATGACAGAAGCGCAGGTGGTATTTCATACAGCGTTGGACATGTAATTTGTCGTAATTGAACCGGGCGGCTTTATACCAGAGATTGTAAACTTTATACGCAGCTAAAAACAAAGATACAGAAGAGCGAGTTGAGGTATTACTTCGTGATACAACTACTCCCGTGACTGTACATTACAGAGAGAGAGCCGCTTGTCGCTGAATTGGATAAAAGTTACTTAGAAGTAATGTGATCAGGTTTTTTTTTGTCTTTAATCTTGCAGAAGCACTTTGTTCCTATATGCACTGCCTTGAGTTAAGAAGTTTTATTTTTGAATGAAGAGAAGGCCATCAGTTTCATTTCTTAATTTATTTTACAATTAAATTACAAAAATGATAAACAGCATTAAACAAATGTGAACTTACTCAAAAATGGCACACAAAAAATAGCTGTTGCTTTGGGTGGCTATTTATCCTGTAATAATATTGAGATGTTTATTGTATATCAACATATGAAAAAAAATATCCATATCTTTTTTTTCTTCTCCATATCGCCCAGTCCTAAGATCAAGCACATGCAGCAGACTCCACCCATCCCCTCAAGTGAGTTCAGTTATTGACCTGAAGACTTGAGGTGGAGTCTGCTCTGCTACTGTGGCCCCTGAGGACAGGTTTGGTTCATTTCACCAGATCAATGACTAACAAACTATTGGGTAAGACTTTTGTTTTAAAAGCCAGGAAAGTGCTCTATAAGCGTGACGTCATAGCGGCACAATGACATCATACCAAAACAGGGCGGAGACAGGATATAGGCCTGGGTGAGTCTAAAAACAACACTAGTTATTCTTTTTTATTTTTTTGAGGTAACAAATCCAGGTCTGCTTTTGATGAGGGAAGGGATCAGGATTTAAAGCTCAAATTTGTATAATACATTTGTATAATACATTTAATTCAACTTGATTCTGCCTATACAATCCAGTTCACAACAAGCTCTGAAGCTCCTTTTAAACAAAGCAGATCATTTTACTTGCCAAGTCCGATCTACTCAAATAAAAGTTATTATAGTAACACCCACAATCTCATCAGTGCAAAAAGGAAGACCAAACACGGACGCCCGGATCATTCGCCACGGCTGCCTGCTCCTCGAAAGCAACTTGTCAATAATTACGCTCGGGTAATGGGTGTCAATGGAAGCGGGTGACAGCACAGCGCAGCAATTTAAGCTGATTTGCGCATTGGATGGAAGCTCGGAAGGACAAAAGATTATCATGACGGGACTGTTAAAACAAGCAGTATTCTCCGGAGTGTCTGTTCTGTTCAGCCGCTCGTCTCCCAGTGTCTGCTCAGGTTTTGTTCAAAGGAAGGAGGAGGAAATGGTCTCCAAACGGCCGATGTAAGATGTCAATGCCCAGGTGATGCAACAGTCTGTAATCCCAGCAGACGGGTACTTAGTAATGTCTCTCAGTCAATATTAGCATTTGAAAGTGCTGCAATCTGAATGCAGTAGGAGGTGAGGGACGTGGAGTAGATTGAAAATTATTGGACTGAACAATTGCATGAGATGAGTGCTTGTTTGAAAAGTAGGCCAGTAGAAATATCCATAATCATTCATATGGGCTCAGTGAAATATGACAAATCTGTGCAACAGACGTGCAGTTTAAGTGCAGACTTTTAGGCGATAGTAAGATCAAACTGTCAAATAATGTCTTATATCATCAAAATAATTTGTACTTTTTGTGTACAATACAGACAGTTGTATGTAACTTTTTGACTTTAGAAATTCTCAGAACTAAAGGTCTGACAGGATTTAGCTTTCACAAGCAGGTAATGCCACAAAAACTCAAAGTTGAACAGTAACAAGAACAGCAGCTTCTTCAGCCACTGATGTTGATAAGCCAGCCTCATACATAATGAGGCTGGCGTTGCTCGTCCACTCCGTGGTTCACACCTAAACGTTCCTAGAGCCATAAAAGATGAAACAATCATATTTTCTAAACAGGCGTGATAAATGAAGAGGAGGCAGACAGCGACCTTCCCCTTTGGGTTTGAGCAGGTGTGGATGCGAGCCATTAGCCACTCCAGACACTCCAGCTGCTGCTGCTGGGAGATGTTCAGAGAAATTCTATTACTGCAAACTGCTTTTTATAGAAACAATGAGTTTGGGCTGAGATTTGAAAAAAAACAAAATGCCTTTATATTATTAATAATTGTATAAACCTGAGGATCGCTGGTAACAGGAAACAATAAGCAATAGGGTTAAAAACGCAAAGGCATTAAAACATCTGATATTTAATAAAGTTCTGGCCAAATCTTCTATGGGTAAAACAATGACATATGAGTTAGTTCAATTCAATTCAATTCAATTCAATTGATTAGTGAATAGCCCAAAATCACAACAGCAGTCGTCTCGGAGGACTTGAGAAGTTGTTGTTAAACCAACAAAAGAACAGGTAAACAAACATTTCAAACACAAAATAGTAATACAGTAATATCAAACACGTAGGAGTATTTGTCCCATAGAGAGCGGGATGACCAATGTCCATAAATGTCCTTAAATGTTGCAGGTCATCACGGTCCTTAAACTCTCCTGCCTCAGCGAGGAGCAACTTGAAAACCCAGTGGATAAAAATGGTAAATTCCAGGTGGGGCAATGTCTTTGGGTTAAATGTATTATTTAATCATCAACAATCAGAGCAAACACAGCTCAGTTCATGCAAACAGCTGATTACTGCTAACGGAGGAGTAAACGTATCTCTTCTAACGGGTTTACAAACCTCTTTTAAAACACCACAAACTCACACTTCTAAACTTTATCCCGTGTCTCTACACAGAAAGACGATGGATTCAAACCCACGACCTTCCTTACATCCGTCAATCACTATACTTCTGACCTGTACCTATATGTACCTTATAGCTAGAAAAAAGTATAGAGGATTTCAAAACTTACTAATAGCCCATATTTCACAAGGAGGGTTTAGCCTTGCCCATTGATACCAGCTGTCTCGGTAAGTAAGGAATTTTGATCATTTTTACTAATTTATTTTAGTTAGGCAATGTTTTTTTTGCATTTGAGCCAATAATGTGTGAATTACCACTTTGATTATTCAATGGATCAAAGCATGTAAAGATGAATGTCCCATAAAGTAATGTAACAGAGTACCTTGTATCACTAGTCTGCCACGTTTTCGTTGTCTGGGGTTTTCCTTTGCTTGTAACGGCCATGCTTTTGATTAGTGGGCAGCTGTAGAAGGCGGTACCTCCCCTTTAAAAGTTCACTGCACCTCCTCACCACTCTCTATCTTTTGTGTGAACAGGTCAGTCTATTGGCAGCGATAATGCACATAACTAACACTACACTACAACAATTAGCCAAGATCTGTATTGTATTTTGTCAAGTATTTCCTGTCCCTCATCCACTCTCTGTCTTTAGTCTGAAGACCTGTGGCTCTGCTCTGCATCTGGGGCCTGCCGCAGAGCAGCCCGTCAACTTTAACCAAGTTCCCCAAAGTGTTTTATCTATTCTTTAAACTTTTGTAACAAGTCCAATGAACTTTTCCAATTGTTGTGGTCTTCCTTGTGCACTGGTGATCAGAACTTAGTTTGACACCGATACAGTAACATAAGCGAAGACATTGCGTTGCCACATGTCTTACCTGGGAAGCTGACGTTGAGGATGAACTCGCGGTAGAGTCGGCGTCCGTCCAGGGCCTTCATGGCGTCGCACAGGTGGCTGGAGTTCTGGCACAGGCTCCGGTGCATGTGGTGGAGAGCATGAGCCATGACGTACACCGCGTTCACCACAAACATGATCTTGGACTCGGGTTCAAACGTGTTCTTGTCTATGGCCAGGTCTTTACCGCATGGAGGCAAGTGCTTCTCGCCCGCCAAGGAGCACTGGAACCGCTGCTCCCAGAACTCCTGAAAGTGAAAGGAAGTGTTGAACGTCACATTTTTCATTGTGATCTATTGTCAGAGAAAACTATCTACTCTAGACATAGTCTACAAGGAAAGTAATAAAGCATAATAGTAATGAAGTTTCTTTACACATTTGTCTGATTAGAAGAACACTTTAAGCCAAGGACCAAATTATCCTCAAATATTGTTGTTAAATTTCAACCATGTGCTTTCATTCTAAAATCGGCACAAAACCTGTTGGTTGAATACAGCATAATCAATAGATAAATACATCAATACCCAGTCTAACAATCCTTCTTCACCATGGGTACAAAATACATCTATAAAGGTGTTTGAATATAATAAAAAAACACATACAAAATGTTAGCTTCAAGATAGCCCAGGTAAGCAAAACATGAAGGGGTTTGGCCCGCTGCAACTTTCTTCAAATAGTTTGAACACCGCTGCTTTAAGACTTAAACATATAGACATAATGTACTCTCTAAACGTAAATGTAGTCACGTGTTTAAAAGCTCAAAGACCACATCACGCACACCTTAAACCAGGGATTCCTGTGGTTGCGGTGCGGGCTCAGTTGGAGAAAGTACTGGTTGAAAGCGGGCACGTGGTTGGCAGCCAGCTCTAGCGTAATGGCCCCTTCTGCGGAAATCTCGTTGCCCTTGACGATGCTCTCTTGCGCACCCCAGCCGTCGCTCGCCACCCAGACAAAGGAGGCGTTGAGGCGCGCGGCGGCGGCCAGGAGCTCGCGGGCGTCGTCACTGCGCAGGAAGAGCACGGCCACGCGCGCATTGGGCTTCTGCAGCAGCTGTCGAATCACCGACTCGTACGACTTCTTAGCGTTGGAGCGCCCCACCTGGTGACAAGCAGCACATGCAGGGTTAGATCGTTAGAGGGAGCGGACAGAGCTAACAGAGCCTGATAAAGCCTAATATGGAAGTGCGAACAATGGCTATTACTCTCTTTCGTATTTGTAGGTCTGTTTTTTGACATGAAAAGCTGTATCGCCCCGGGACAACAACAGTGAAAGGTCAGCTACTGTTTTAGACCTGCATTGCTTTACACCTCAGGGAAACAAAGTTCCAGCTTTAAAAATAAGTCTTCTTAAGTAACAGCACAGTCCATCCAGAACAATAGGAATCACATTATAACAGACAAGTTAAACATCCATGTGTAGCAATGTAATTATTTTTAGAGACAACTTTCTAAAGGAAGAGCAGTACGTGCACAGCTGGTTACTGTCCCTTGTGTGACTTGTGGTTATCCTTCTTCACCTGACCCAGAGGTAAACAAGAGCCTATAAAACAGTTTGGTTGTATTGCAACTCAAAATGATTGTTATATGTGGTTCACACAGAGCACGCCTTGGTTAAAAGGCCAGGTTGCAAGGCAGATCAAATGCCGAGTTGTTCTGAGACATCAGTCCATGCCGCTCACTGTGAGAGGAAAGGGCACCCTGGGGGGGTCCAAATGCTGGTGTTTTTGCACAGCGGGAATAAGGCTTTATGTTTCCATACTTTTCAGTGTTTATTGCATGGTTGTCTACCTGGCGGCGTTTGTATCTGATCTGTAATTAATCTGTATTCATACATTCAAGGACTTCCCAACCATCAGTGTCATTGTGTTTAAGTCAATGTGGAAGAAATGGCAGGAACACGACTCTCTAAGATTAGCAACCTTCTGGAAAGGGTGACCAATTTGGAGTATTGTTGAAATTGTAGCCATGGATGGAGAGAACAAAGTTTGTATTTGTTGTATTCAAGTAAAAGTACTATTACATGGAAAAGTCCACGCTTCAACAATATGTTCTTAATTATCCAGATAATGAACTTGTGAAAAAGTTGTGTGTGAATAATAATAACCCGAGGATGTGATGATCAGGGTAAATTATGTGATGTCAATATTTTCAGTGGGGTGAAATCATACTGTTTGTGAATATAAAGAATAGAAGGCTCACTGTGCATTGCAAAAAAAAGCATCATAGATTCATGTACCTACAGTATTTATGAAATAAACTTATTTTTTTCTCAATGAATAATCTGTTTGTCCAAATTGTAAAAGTACAATGTTGTGAGCCAGTCAGACACAACATGCTGTCTTCATCTTATGAGACAACTTGCAAACTTGTAAGAAAGAGCCTTGTGAGTCACTATTTCAGCGGAGAGCTTTAAAGTCGAATAAGCTGAGATGGAGGACAAAAAGGTCAAATGTATTTGAAAACTATATCAAGATGATAGAATCAAACAGTTTTGAGAGCGAGGAGCTAGTCAAATGGATTCAATTCCTGGAGTCAATTTCAATTCAATGAAGTCAATTTCCCGTCAGAAAACTGGGATTAGACGCTGGGTTTAGATAGCTAGAGTTGAAAAAAACTATGGTTTATTATTATACAGCAATTTCTGATAACTAACAAGGCGGCATGGTGGCGAAGGAGATAATACTCCCGTTTCTCAGCAAGAAGGGTTCGAATCCCAGTCGGAACAGGGCCTTTCTGAGTGGGTTTGCATGTTCTCCCTGTGTCTGTGTAGGTTTCCCCTACCACTAATAGTGGGCGCTGTACTGCGGCGACCACTGATCCTGACAGAAGCCCTAGAGGACTTCATCAGGATGGGTCAAAGGACAAAGTTCCCAAAGCAGATAAATAAAGAGCATATTTACATTTATTTACATTTAACACTCGACTAAAGTACATAGAAGCAATTGTAAATATTTACTTTCCCCACTAGCCTTTGCTCGGATCCCAAAACAATTCTGTGATCCATACAAGTTTGTTTATTTGTACAATTTGAGAAACGCACTCTTTGGCAAATCAGATGAAAAATGTGTTCAGTTTGAGGCGATCCTCGTCTTATGGAGAGATTTCTCATTCCGCCGATAACGCGCCGCTGTAATATAAAGCGCATTTGTGTCGTATCAAGCAAGCGCGACCAAACACTGTGCGTGCACTGCGCACACACTCGCCGCCCGCAGCCATACATCACCATCTCTGCGCGCTCCGCTTTCAATTATCTGTATCTCGCTGTGAGCAATGTGGTTTTAAATCCGCCCAGATCGGGACACAGATGCGCGTTTATCCCATTATGCGCTTGGGTCTGCGCCTCACCTTTACCGACTTTTGTTTCTGTTATTGTGCTGGTAATTGTGATGCGACATTCGGACTTAAAGAGTAAGGCAAGATTGTATTTTTCATAACAAGGAGAGAAGTGTATTTTGAAGATTGTTTGTGCGTACTGATAGTATAGTGTGTATACAAAGTGTGTATAGAGCCGGTATAGAGCCGGCACATTAAACTCAGGCCCCATGTTTCGGTTTTTATTTCATGCTTTTTTGGACACTCGCTTCACATGTCATTATTCCTTCACTCCATACAGCTGCCCTGGGGCACACCGGCTGAAGTGAGTCAACCAGTTTGTGCCATCGGCCCCTACGACCACCACCAATCACCAGAGTTGGGGAAGTTACTTGTTACTTCTATTAAAACAGTTACTAGTTACTCTCTAAAAAAATTAGAAAGAATTATGTTCGACTTTGAGCATAACTCAGTTATGTAAAGTGACATGCTGTGGCCCTTTTTGTGTCTTGTTTCAGTATGCAGCCCTCGGGGAAAGTTTGGACACCCCTCTAGTCTTATTAACTCCTAATTTGCATAATTGTAAGAGGTTAATTGGATGTAATTAGTAATTATTCAGCTCATATTAATGGCTACATAATCTTCTGCTGCTAATAGACTCTTTGCACAGCAGCACCCGGCTCTGAGAGCGACCCCACTCTCCTCTGATCCTGAAATGAATGAACACACACAGGCAGGTTACACAGTGGTGATACAAACAAGAATTTAATACACTATTTTTGAAAGCATGAAGGAAACGGTATGAGACTGGCTTTGGCCCTTGGGAATTGTTTTCCTTGAAAAGTTTGGATCTACTTTATGTCACAGGAAGTGATCTATCTGCAGATGTCAGCCCATTCAAATCAATGGCCTGTGCTAATTAATGTTGCTGTCCCAAAAACGTTCACCCCATGTCTGTGAAGGTTTCCTCCGGGTGCTCCGGTTTCCCCTACACTGTGGGACTGCAGATGGAAATTAGCTAAATAGCTATAATCTGGTGTATTTACAGCTCCAGCTGTTCATGAATACACTATCCCATCCAAAACAACTAATAAATATAGACACAAATACAAAGTGATGGAAGGGAAGTGATGTGTTTTGTCAAGCTCTGGTTCTCACATTCTTGTACAGTATTTGCCCAGTGGTTCTACTTCTGCAAGACCAGAAAACTCATCTGTGCCATCATAGTACTAACCAGGCACTGCCCTGCTTAGCTTCTGAGTGTGATGGGATCAGACTTTCACACATACACTGCACATTTTCAATACTGTTAATGGCAGGCGTACAGGGATTGATGGAGTAATTGCTGACCCTCATTTATTAAATTTGGTAATCCTAATGTAAACTATCATGCCATCTGCCATGAGAGGAGGCCAAGAATTATACAATAATGACACTGGAATGATATACAAACTGATGTGAAACAGTTGTTGCGTCTGAAAATATGCTAATCCCATACAGCCCTGAAGACCAATAATGAGGGTGCATGAGCCTTGGTTTCCCCACCCCATCATTTAATATATACACATACATACCAGATAATAATGTGAACAAGTGATACCATAAGCACTTTAGCTGAAACAAATCCAAATGACACCATTCATCACAGATTCTCGCTGCAATAGATCTTTGTTATTATGCAAAACAAACTTTGAAAAACATACCTGGAGCTGTTTGTTTCATTTGCATGTTTGAGTAATGCTGCGCGCCCTGCGTCTATCTATTTTCTTTTGTTTTCTGTTTTGTACACCTTCATTAAAGCATCTGCACTCAACTTCAGAATTATAGCCTCATTTCTACTCATCCAAGGTTGTCCAATGCATGTCTGTACTTACTGCAGAGCTGGTAGTTTCCATGTACTCAATCAATATTTATTTGTAATGTGTCTTTCGTACACAGGGCTTCACTGTCCATGTCACACCATGCACAAATCATCACATAAAACACCTAAACCAAAATCACCATTATAAACACAGTTAAAATCACACAAGGGATTGAAATAATAAATAACCACAGTGCAATAAAAATAGATAACATCTAGTTAGTAAGGGTTGCGTTCATGTTCTAGAATTAATTTGGAGGGCAGGAGCCAATACAACTCTCTGGGAGAGAAGTATTTAAACAAACATACAGTACATTTTTATTTTTTTTCCCTCCAGATCATTATTTGATAGTGATTAGATTCACAAACGCGACATATTAAACTAATCCTATGTCTGAAAGTCCTTTCTACTGACCACCTTCATGCAAACATTTTTTGAAATTTGTCACCACTTCTAGACACTTTCATGAGAAAATAATTTGACAGTTAAAGGGGAGTAGTAGTTGCCTACATTTTAAAACAAACATTCACATGACTAGAGCAGTCAAAATGACGGCTCTGGGAACATAGAACTACTCACATTTAAAGATAAAAGAGAATAATGACAAAGAAAAAGTCACAAAGTTATGACTACCAAAAATGTACATGAGCTGAGTAAAGTTGGGGCAGGTACGGTGGCTAGGGGGATTGCACTCTCCCTTCTCAGCAAGAACCAGGGGTGGACTGGGACCAAAAAATGGCCCGGGCATTCTTGACGGCCAGACGTTTTGTTTTTCACTTTTTTTTTAAGGTGTGGAAGCACATATTGCAGAGCAGGGGTGCCCAAACTTTTTAGACTTGACCTGGGGCCAACAATTTAAAAAGATGGAATCCGGAATTCAAAATGGGTTTTATTCCATTTCATGTGAAATTTTTGTCACACTATCATCAAACAAATGACAGTATATAGCAATAGAGTCAACAACTGGATTCCAGAGGATCTGGGATTTACAACAAGGTATCGCATGACTGTATTGGTGGAGCTAAAGTTGGTTGGATGACATTGTCAGAAGTGCCTCAATGGCAACTGTGTTAGCAGCAGAGGGACACATAAAATGGCACAGAGGGCTGCAATTGGCCTGCGGGCCTAAGTTTGGACATGCCTGCTGTAGAGGATGTATGCGGTTTCAACAACTATAGTAAAGTGCAATAGTCACTACACAGAGTGAGGGAGATGGACACAGAACCAAAACTATTGTATGTTACAGGCACGAGAACGGCTGAAACAAAAAGTCTGAAATGCATGACGTTAGTCAATGGCTGTCCTTAAATCTAAATGTCCTTCAATCTTTTTGATTTGTTCACAACATTTTACTTTTGGGCACAACGAACATAAGCTGTAAGTGCAAGGGAAAATGTAGGTATCCCAGCTTTAATTTAGCGAGTTTAGTTGCGCTTCGGGAGAAGACAGGGGGAGACGCGGACTGTTTTCAGCAGTGTATTTATTGCGTGCACAGCACCGGTATCTCAAATACACGCACACAACAAGCAGAGCATGGTCCTGTGCGAGTATGCTCTTGGGTACATGGCGTACCCATCTTGTTGGGTTGTTGTCAAAGCAGCTCACAGCCACTACAGGTGGGAACCGCTGTAATTCTAAAGCGGCCGCAGCTGCCCCGGGTCAGAACGCTGCGGCCACGGAGGATGCGGACTCCCGTTCAAGTACATACAGCAAACAACAACAGGATTTACACAGTTTTTTTTGAAGCAGACAGACAGGCCCAAATAGGTACAGGACCTTTCTAAGTGGAGTTTGTATGTTCTCCCTGTGTCTGCCTAGGTTTCCTCCAGGTGTTCCTCCGGTTTTCCCTATCACTAAAAATATGTACAATAGGTATGAATGTTGTGAGTCAGTGAATGGATGTTGGTTGGGGGCTATGATGCTCCAGTGTGTTTGATGTCTCGCTTCCATCATCACCGCGTGTGGAGAGAGTGGACATATCTGAACTCTGAACATTGCAAAGCGCTTTGTCTGCAAAAATGCGCTAAATAAATAAAGATTACTTACTTAATTACATACTTCCTAAGCTAAAAGGTGTCAAATTGACTGCTGTGGGAGTTTGAGTGTTAATGTAAATGGAAACATTTCAAAATTACCATATAGAATAGTAAATACTGCTTTTTAATTATTCATAATAACAATTCCTCTTTAATATATGAAAAATAAATTCATCAATACTTTAGTTGGGGCGGTTATTTTTTACTGTATTGTATCACATTGTGTGGAATTTAAAGTCTCCTGTATATGTGCATCGTAACGGCAGGCTCTGAGAGCCTCATGTAAACGTTTGGTGTCAGCGGAACTGGACTCATAATACAGACGCTGAGGAGGCTCTCCCTGCTGAGGAGACACTACCTGCTGAGGAGGCTCTACCTGCTGAGGAGACACTACCTGCTGAGGAGGCTCTACCTGCTGAGGAGACACTACCTGCTGAGGAGGCTCTACCTGCTGAGGAGACACTACCTGCTGAGGAGGCTCTACCTGCTGAGGAGGCTCTACCTGCTGAGGAGGCTCTCCCTGCTGAGGAGACACTACCTGCTGAGGAGGCTCTACCTACTGAGGAGGCTCTACCTGCTGAGGAGGCTCTACCTGCTGAGGAGGCTCTACCTGCTGAGGAGGCTAGGATAGTTTGGAGTGCAGGGGCCACTCCTGAAACCTTCTGTGACTCTGTGGTGGGATCTTGCTAGTTTGTCCAGGACCGTCCTGTGCCCCACCGCCGTGTGAAGGAGAGGTTCCTGCCCTCTCCTTCACACAGAGACTTATCCACAGCAAGTGGATTTATGGCCTGTGATATCAACTGCTTCGTTCAAAATAAATTAAATCAAATTAATTGAAAGAAATATTGCATCATATACATCATGACCTTTTTTTTATTGTAAAACTGTTAAGTGAAAGTAAGCCATTTCTGGCAAAGTCCACTTTAGATGACATGGGGACAAATTATCCATGAAATAATGATACGCGCAATATAAGCTTGACTCGCAACATGGCGTTCGCGCAAAGCATAAGCACATGATGGAAAACCATGAAAACTCTACAAGTGACTTATCCTTGAACCAAGTGGAATTATAGCTCCAGAATTTAGAAACTATTATCTTAGATACTGTTTGATGTGTGCAAACATCTCCTACTTTTCTGCTGTAATGTGCGCAACGATAACATTGAAATTTTCCCACTGTGGCATGAATAAAGGATTTTCTTATCTCATATAGGCAGGGCTAGTATTGTTGGATGTTTGCGGAACATTTCCAGCCAAAATATAAGATAGGAATTAAGTCAAGGGGGTCTCAATTTGTCAAAAACCTTCCAAAAGGCCAACTTTGAAATTCTATCAACCACAGAACCATAGACTGAAACGATGGACAGAACTATATGCGAACTACCGGCCTATAGCAAAGCGCCCATGAGTGACATTTTGCTGCAAGTGCCTTCGGCTCTTTTCACTTTCATTGAAAAGAAAACTCCTCTCAGTCTGCGACCGTAAAAAGAGAGTTTTAACGGTACACTTCAGTAGTCTCAAACTCAATTTACCTGGGGGCAGCTAGAGATCAAATCTGGGGGAGGCCAGATGCATGGAGTATATTCATCAAACCAGAGGCCATGAGTGTGCAAAGTGTACTAGGGCTGTCACTCCCCTTTATTCTATTTAATTAATTAGTTGGCCAATTATTGAAAGAATAACCAATTAGAGGTTTAAATCCCAAAAGATCAGTAAAGATGGCCATTTAAAAAAATATATATAACAAAGCTCAAGTGATCTTGCTGGAAAACATCTTTATAGAGATGACTAGTTTTCAATTTACAGTTTAAAGTATTCAAGACAATGTGCAGATACATTAAAAAGATTTCTGCACTAGAATTAGCACCATGCTACGTTCCATCTGTAGTTTTATAAATATAAAACATAAAAGTCTTAACGATATTACTGGAACTGTGCAGTTATGAATAGTTTCGGGAGGACCAATTCTCTTTACGCTCTTGTTTGTATTGTATTGACTTATTCTCTAAGAAAAGTTTTTGAGTTGACTCTATAATGACTTAATTCTTCAGTCATTACAGAATTATCATAAAATCTTCTCCGCATATTTAAGTTCATGGAAGGATCAAAAACCAATGTATTCATTACTAAACTAAACTACTATTTATACAATTGATACGTTGCGATTAATCAATGAAACTTACACCCCACGTAATTGGAGTTATTTCCCTAAAGAAATATATTGAACATATTTCAATATATTGAATCTAGTCACGGGCCCTTTTATCGTGACTGGCCCGTGAAACCTGCTTGGATGAGAAACAAAAAAATGCGTCTGGCCACATGGATAGATGAGATTTATGTCTGAAAACATGTCAAATAGAGTAGCTCTAGTGACCTTCTCGGACGTGGCGATGCAGATGTTCCTCATGCGTGCCTCGTGTTCAAAGGCCTCGATGCCGGTCTCGCCGTAGTCGCCCTCGGAAGCCACCGTCGACACATACGTCCAGTTGAAGTGCCGCAGGATCTCGGCCATGGCCTTGGCCTGGTAGAAGTCCGGCGGTACGGTGCGGGCGAAGTAGTCGTAACGGGTTTTGTCGCTGAGCTTGGCGCTGGTGGAGGCGTAGCTGATCTGGGGGATCTGGAAGAGCCGCAAGAGATTGGCCACCTGCCAGAGAGAAGGACACGAGTACGGTTAGAACTAAAACAAAAACACCAATATTCGCTGTTGTTGCAGTACTAGAGCAGAGCGTCAGAAGAGGGACCGTAAATGTCTCAGGTTCAACAATCACCACTACTGGCAATGTACAGTGCCTTGCGAAAGTATTTGGCCCCCTTGAACCTTTCAACATTTCGCAACATTTCAGGCTTCAAACATAAAGATATAAAATTTAAATTTTAAGCTGTAGTTATCTGCAGTTCATCCAGAGTGATCATGGGCCTCTTGTCTGCATCTCTGATCAGTCTTCTCCTTGTTTGAGATGAAAGTTTGGAGGGACGGTCGGGTCTTGGTAGATTTGCAGTGGTCTGATACTCCTTCCATTTCAATATAATTGCTTGCACAGTGCTCCTTGAGATGTTTAAAGCTTGGGAAATGTTTTTGTATCCAAATCTGGCTTTAAACTTCTCCACAACAGTATCTCGGACCTGCCTGGTGTGTTCCTTTGTCTTCATGGTTCTCTCTGCGCTTTAAACAGAACCCTGAGACCATCAAAGAGCAGGTGCATTTATACGGAGACTTGATTACACACAGGTGCATTCTATTTATCATCATCAGTCATTTAGGACAACATTGGATCATTCAAAGATCCTCACTGAACTTCTGGACTGAGTTTGCTGCACTGAAAGTAAAGGGGCCGAATAATATTGCACGCCCCACTTTTCAGTTTTTTATTTTAAAAAAAAGTTTAAAGTATCCAATACATTTCGTTCCACTTCACGATTGTGTCCCACTTGTTGTTGATTCATGACAAAAAATTAAAATTTTATATCTTTATGTTTGAAGCCTGAAATGTGGCGAAATGTTGAAAGGTTCAAGGGGCCGAATACTTTCGCAAGGCACTGTATATGTCTTTCCTCATTGTGGTCATACTTGCATGTGAAAGCCAGATCCCGTCAGACCTCTGAAGCTGTGCAGGGCAGGGCTTGGTTAGTACTGTGATGGGGGACCTCTGGGACAACCAATTGCCACAGTGGGACAGGTGCGGATATAAAGTGCCAAACTGACGAATGTGTCCTCAGGCAAGGCACTACACCCACATTGCCTTGAAAGAATCGGGTGTGTGTGTGAATGGTTGATGGTGGATGGAGGGGCTACATGGTACATAGAAGTTGCCTTAGTTCTGTCAGTGTGCCCCAGGGCAGCTGTGGTTACTGTAGTAGTTTATCACCAGCGTATTTGTAGTGGATGAATAATTACACGTAAAGCTTCTTTGAGTGTCCAGATAAGCACTATATAAAACCGAAAACCAATGCACTAGCCTCATCTTACCAAACCATCATACACATTTAATTTTGTACTTAGGTCTGGATTTGCTCAATTGAGCTCTGTTAACAGGTGGGAGGGGCTAGCTTCTTTTGCAGATTGTAACGATTGGATCTGAGTTGACGTGTGTAATCCGCATTCCTCTTGCTCCGACTTCAATTTCTTGATATTTGGAACCTTGATATTTGGAACCTGAACGTATTACTTTACTATCACATTCGGTGAATTCTATTCCCTCCACCGGGAATAGAATTCTAGAACATGAACTTTTTTTTGGAATAATATACTTTTTAAATGAAGTATGGAAATATTGGATTGGGACTCAGTATCGGCCAATTGCTTGCTTGCAATTGACGTCACGTCCGCCTCATTACGTATGCGTATCACAAAGTGGTGGTCAGCCGAGCTAGTGCCTTTTGCATGTGTTGTTTTAAGTTTTCTAACCGATCGAGTCGCGAAACCTTCAATGGATACTTTATGATTCCTCATGAAGAGATGAATAAAGAGCCTCGCACTAAGGACTTTACAAAAAGACGCAGGAAAAGTGGCTCGCTAACATTTCACTAGCAGACGCTTTTACCTCGAAGGATTATTTATTTACCCAGCCATGCAGTCACAACGCGCAGTTATTACATCCCCATTTTTATTTAATTAATTGTCAGGTATGAGTCGGCGTTTTAGATAATCACTGTAGATGTTTGACCTGAAAAGAACACAGCCACAGACGCATTGTTTTTTTGAGAATGATAAGTTCGTTCACCAATCCTTACTTACACGGCTCTGTACGATGCAGGATGTGTCCTTCAGGACCTTAACTCTGAGTTCTTAAACCCACAGACAGACGGAAAAGTTGTCGTATCCGTGTTTATCCAAACCTTCATTTGTTTAGCAGTGCAAAAGCTTGACTGTAACACTAGCTCGTGGGTTAGAATCTAAAGTGAAGAAAATGACAGTCTAGGATCGTGTCTTTAATTCAGACAGAAGACATGTTTTATTGTCAATGGTAGAGACAGCATAAACAAAGACGTTACAGAATGTAAGTGACAAACAGCGGAGGAATGGAGACTTATTAGTATTATTAGCATATCAGCATTTGCCGCGGTACCCTAACCCTTACCAAAACATGTAGTGGAAAAATTCTGCCTTGTGCATATTGTTAGAATGATGAGTTAGAACCTTCACCACAGTAGCTTCAAAGTGTCATGAAATATCCAAAAAAGCAAAAAAATACTCTGCAGAGTCGCATTTTCTTCATATATCAGCAGCAACTCTTGCTGGCCTGACCACCACTTCATCAACCGGAAGTTTATGCGTCACGTGACTGCAAGCAAGCAATACTAGAAATCCAATGACTCAAAAACGGGGCAAAAAACTTGATTTGGACATTGTTTAAACTATTTATTCATTTTCTTTCCTGTAGGTTATACATCTGCTCCAAAAAGTCGCTTACCGTTGCTTAAAGAATCATACAATTGGAAAATAAAGTATTTGGGTTCATCACGTTTTACTGGTATCTGGGGGACACATTTGCCATGTTTTTATAATTGAAAATCTTACAGTTCCTTTCGGACAGTTTCCTTTGGGCTAAAACAATTTTGGCAACAAATACTGGTAGACTTGTATACCATAATTGTTGTTCATTCACAATTTAAAGGCCTTTTGAGTTTTACAGGAGAGCACGCTATTACTCACCCGATCCACGTTCTGCTAATGTTCAGAATATTGTGACGTCATCGTTTGCATCTATACAGTTAATTTACCAGCTCGCATGTGGAGTTACTTCAAAGCCATTTCACAAGAGCAGGTAGACATAATTGTGCTGGTCTAAAACTGCTCCAGTGAAATGTTCTGGCTATTATTACAAAGCTGTGTACTCAGTGATAAGCTTGCAATTTCAAAAAGCATTTGCGCAACTAGCAGTCAATTTGTGTTTTTGCTGATGTTTGCGTAATGTTTGTGACAGGAGGAGAAGAAGGAAAATGAAGAAAAGCAGTTAAATTTTCACTGCTGTCACGCCAGGGTTGGTTATGTGGCTTAATGCCAATTCGAAAAATATAGAAGAAGTTGTTTATTGGAACAGTTTAACAATGTATTTTTACAGGTAAGCTCAAAAGGGGAAGGCGAATCAGAAAACTCCAATGTGCCTTCCCCATTTATCAATACTACATTTTAGCGACAGCAAATAGATTCCGATTTTTGACAAAGTAGAAGTATAGGTTCAAAGTCCTTTGTGGGTGGGATAAAGGCTCAAATGGATAAACAATTGTGTTCACGTTCTAGAATTGTATTTTGGTTGGAGGTCAGGAACCAATAGAACTCTTAATTTTTGTTATGTTAATGTTTTCCTACATCATTATTTGGTAGTGATTGGATTCACAAAGCTGCAATATTAGTCCGAGTCCTTTCTATTGACAAACATAAAGCATGTTTTTGAACAGTGATAACTGTGACACAACCTATTAAGAGTCCTAATCAGAAGATGCAAACATATATACACTGAAATCCACGGTTCATTGTATGAGCGCAAAAAAAGACCACTTCAGAGATCGAGCTGTTTTCACTAGTTCCTTTTGAAACTTTACTGTTGGACTGTGGCACATTACTAAAAAACAGATTCCAGAGTTACCTTCTCCAATAAACCTTAGCGCAACCCGCTCATTACTTGAGAGAACAATATGCCGTCTCTCAAGTCGATGCCGAAGTTTAGTGCTCTGGTCTGAGAGCTGATCTCTGTAAGGGTGGTTCTTTCTTTTAGCTTTTCTGTCTGAAAAAGCTGATCTAAAGAAGTGTAGATCGAACATACTTGCATGTGAAAACTTGTGAAAACCTTTGAGCATGAGGAACTGGTTAAATGGAATTGAATACATTGTTTGCATTTGTTGTGGTTTGAAAGTTAGGTACCCCAACTAAACAAGACACATACTGTAGCTCCTCCTGTCGTTCCCTTCTGTCCTTAGCTCCGCCCCTTTAAAGAAGCATCAGTGAAACGCACATGTAATGCTTTGTTCCTCGGCAAACAAAGTTTTAATGAATTTATAATTGTGTTTGCTAAAATCAACTTAAACAGATTTTCTTTTTCCCAAGAAAGTAAGTTGAAACTGGGGTAGGTGCTTGGTGCAGACAGAGGACTGAGGGGAGAGCAATGTCGCTGGACGTATATCCAGCATCTAAAAACAGCATTGTGTATAAATGACTCGGGAAAGAGACAAACAATTTTTACGCCATGATCTCTTTAATTGCTCTAACCTTATTCGGCTAAAACTAATAAATCGGCGCATAGCAGCGAGTCTATAAACACCAAAACTACTATGTGCATAAACAGCAGCAGCAACACAAAAGCTCCGCTGGAATAAAAGCATCATGCATTAGTGATGGAGATGATGAAGTCTATATAATATTCCCTTTCGTGCCGATCGTGCCCGTTCCAGTTCGCTCATTATCATTTGAGTCACACTCGCCGGCCAACGCGCGCATTAGTGGCTGTAAACACAGATACTCGGCGGAACCTAATCCCGTTACCGTGCCGACGCGCCTTCTTTTTTGTTTTGACACGGTGTTGCAGCGTTTGGAATAGCGCCGTAGACTTGAGAATGGGAAAAAAGCAAAAGTGTGTTTGTGCAAAATTTGGGGGTTTTGAAGTTGGCAGGTGAGCGAAAGGTCGGGAAATGTGCGATGTGTTCAAA